CATCCAGTTCCAGAGACGACATGCTAACGTGGTCCTCAGGGAGTGGTTTCAGAACGAGGGGGACAAGTGGGTCTAGCCGCACGTCTTCATCCAGACGTTCGAGAACTTCATCGTCTGGATCCGGGGCTGCTCAAGTCGCTATGAACGTCCTGCACCAGACTCAAGATGGCCTTGCCCGGATGCGCATGGAGCAGGACCGAAGACTTCCGACCTTGGAGGAAAGACAGGAGTTCTTCCTTATCAGGCAACACCAAGCCCAACTCGATGCCCGTCTGGTCGTCGATCGCCAGCTCCAAAGCGCGTTTCGCGGGGTAGAAGCCCTAGATGGACGCCTGGCTGACATGGAGAGTCGACGAAAGTGTGCGGAGGCGACCTCCTCAGCGATGGCGGAGCAGGTGAAAGTCGAATACCAGCCGCCCGCAAGCCTGGACACCGAACGGACTCAAGATCGCGTCAAGAAAGATGTCGAGTAGGCCACGCGTCGGGAGCGTCAGCGCTTTCAGGCTGAGTACGAACAACGTTGGCGACAGCACATGGCGGAAGTTGAGCAGGAACGCGTGCGCTGGACAGCGGAGGCGACAAGAACCCTGGACGCGCAGCAAGAAGCACTCGCAGCAGAGTGGGTGAGCCTCCAGCAGCTGAAGAACACAGAAGAATACCGAAGAAGCCAGGAAGCGTCTGAAACTCGACGCCTCCAACAGCAGTTTCTGGATCTTCGTGCAACAGTAGCGGCTCTACTCCACCCTGATGTGACAACTGATTCCAAGTTGAATGTTATAGGAGACCCCGATTCTGCAACTCAGAAATCGAGTGTGACCTCTGCAATCAAGGGTGATGCAAGGGACTGTCCCGTTTATGCCCCAGAAAAGAACCTCACCGAAGCCGCTCTTTCCCAGCTTCGAGCCACACTGACAGAAGTGAAGGATGAACCCACAGTGAAAAGTACCAAGGCTGGGCGAAGAGCTCCATCTGCTCCTAAGGCCCATACGGTTTCAGACGTCGGCGAATCTAGTTTCAGACAACCCAAATCCGGAGACTCTGGATCGACGAAGTCTGTATCAGGAAAGAAAAGCCCCAACCGGCCTGAATTTAGGAAGCCTTCGACCCGCAAGGCTAAAGAGGACCCGAGGTCACCACCTTCTGACCCTGGAGACGATTCAGGCTCAAGTAGTGACGATGGAGACAACAGCGACTCCAGCTCAAGCGGTTCGGAGGACAGCCTTGACAATGATGATGGTTCCGGCACTGCCGCGTCTAAGACGACCAAGGATGGTACTACGGTTTTGGAACTTCCGGCCCTATATCAACTATAATGCGGTCAAGAAATTTAATGACACTGCGCCGAAGGAAGACCGAGCCATCTGGTGGGAACGTTTCACCGACGTGTCAGCACAGGGTCCTAGCCTGACAAGATGAAGTTCCGCCAGTTCCGGAGTCGGATGCCTGCTACGATCAGAGACTGGTACGCGCAGTTGCCTAAATGCCACAATTGGAAACTACTGTCCACCAAGTTCAAGAAGCTGTATTGTCGTACTACTGGATGCTACGCGGAACGATACTTCACTATAAAGATGAGGTCCTCAGAAACGGCGCTGCAGTTCTTCTATAGACTGAACGCGGCCGCCGTGAAGGCGGAAATTCTGTTCCAGACCAGCTCTAAGTGTCGCGAACTGCACCTCCGCAGATTCGTCAAGAAGCTCAAAGATGTACAGGTCAAGCCGGCTCTCGAAGGCCATCAGTTTCAGAGTAAGTTTCAGAGTATCTCTGAAGTGGAGCGTGTACGCAGACGCCATGAAGATGTCTGGAGAGAAGATGATTATGAGACGCCGCCGACGAGGACTCGAGACGCCAGATCCGACAACTTACCCCGCGGAGGCCTCAAACCTCGACGGCCAGACCATGTGTTCCTTACTCAGAATGTTGACTCTGGAACCCCTCCCGCTATGGAAAAACATGTCCAGTTTCAGACTCCGGAAGTCGAGGAACAACCCCGGGTGGCGGGTCCAGAGACCCCAGAATATGGTCCGGACGATTACGTTCCTTCGATACCTGAAATGGCGGACGAATCGTATGAAGGCTACCGCGTTTCGGAGTGGTAGGAGCAACAACGCATGGAGAACAGGAACGCGTTCTGTGAGAAATGCAAGAAGTGGGGCCACCCCGAAGAAAATTGCTGGCAAGATATAGTCTGTGGCAACTGCTCTGAACCGGGACACCCGGCCCGAGTCCGTCGAAAGAAACGATGTACAGACTGTGGAGAAATCCACCCTGGAATTCCGTGTGCGGAGTGGAGAGCGTTCAAAACTGTGAAGCATCTGGCGAGCCAGGGCATGTTGAATGACGCGGTGCCGACCCAGACTCTGGCCTAACTACAGACGAAGGATACAGGACAAGTGAAGCAACAGTTAAACCACTAAGCCCGCTGGATGGGGATCCAGTACGCGACGGGCTCAAGAACCCCCCTAAACTGTGTGTGCTAGTTTGTATGGGCCCAGAAAGAAGAAGAAAAGACCACAACCAAGATAACCAACAATGCATGACTCTAATCCAAGACGAGATCATCTACCCTGAGCAGCTTTACCCCGAATATCAGCGTTTTAATAAACCAGACTCAGGGTCGAGTCCTACAGAAGACCCGGTCGAAGTTGCATTAGGTCCGGGCCAGAGATATGGATGGTGGGAAGATCGTGATTCTTTCGTATGAGATCGCGCCTGTGTGTGGGGCGATCAATGATTGGCGAACGAGGATACTCCTAGACACTGGTGCTTCGGTGCGAATTGTGAGTCTGGACCTAGCGGGCAGGCTCAGTCTCAAAATCCGAACGCATCGGCAGATCAAGGTATCTGGCTTAGGAGGGATTCCGACGTATATCACCGCACATGCTCGCGTCAAGATTACCCTTGGTTGGGAAGTGGTCTATATTCAAGATGTCTGGATCGGGAATATTGGTGAAGGCGTGGACGTATTATTGGGAATGAACTTCATGTACTCGACGGGATTTCGATTGTGTATCCGCGAGGGACTAGCCAAGCTACCGGATGAGGACAATGTCGTGATGCACGATGATGTTCCGAGGAAGCGGAGAGGGCTGGAATTGCCAGTCTGTGCAATGGAAAGTTTATATCTGCGTCCGGGCGAAGCTGCGGTAGTCAAAATGGAGTATGGACAGACCAACCCGCAGCGAGAAGTGGTCTGGGCCGGACGAGGAAAACGATGGGTGACAGAGATCCTGTTTGGAGTCCGGTCCTGGGCTACGGCGGTCTGAGTGGCCAACGTTTTGGATAGAAATGTCTGGATCGACACCCGGACTGCCCTTGCTTGGATAGTGGGTACGGGCATTTCCCAAATGAGCCAGGATTTCGTCCGGCTGGGGAAGCTCAGGTATAAGGAGTGGCAACGGCTTATTCTCGAGAGTACCGAGTCGCGTCAAGGCCGGATGCGTGCCGAGCGCTTGGAGCAGTTGATGCGACTTCGCGACCCTCCCGCGGTGCCACGACCAGAGTTCCATTGGTCTACCAAACCCCTCGTACGCCCAAAGGCTCAAGATGCGGAAGCCAGGATGGTGCAGTTGCAGGAACGACCAGAGGTTATAGAGGTTTTCCTCGCTGCGCGACGTGGAGCCACCCCAAAACCGGAGGCAAGTGCCTTACAGGTGAAAGACCCGACATATGTCCCGGTGACGACATCCGCCGAAGAGACCGGAGCAGTAGACAATAGAGATGTTGGTACCCAAGTTGATTTCCCAAGCTCTTGGGGATATGGCGCTTCAGATCGACATAGCTGTACCTCTGACCAACCCGCCAAGCATGGAGTCCGAGATCAGGACTCAGAACCGTCTACAACTGGGGCGATTGCAGGAAGTACAGAGGATCCAGAGCGCTTCCGGAGCGCAGAGGACCTGAGGGAAGATCTAGCCACCTTTTCGAGAGCAAGAGATTCTGAATATCATTCGCCGCTAGGCCTGGAACATCTCGCCTCAGAAACGAACGACGTTCCAGAGATCGTTCCAGAATTCGACTCGGAAGACGCACTAGAGGGTGTCCTTGAGAGCGCATTAGACGATATATCAGATCCCATGGATGACGTCTCCGACATCTCAGATACCCCGGTCCAAAGACTGGAGCGAGAATACGAACGTGTCATGCGAGTGACGGTGGAGGAGTTAGATCTGGAACCAGCTGTATATCTGCGTAAAGGGACGGAGCTGAGCGATCATCTGACTATGTTCCCAGAGTTGGAAGAGTTGAGTCCGGAATGCGACATCGACAAAGCCGACGTTGGCGTTCCAGGCGTCACGACCCCAGAGATGGAGGACAAGATGCAAAAGATTTTGAATCATCATCGTCGTATCTTTTTAGGTGATGGCAATGCAGCACCGTCCCCAGCTCGTGGAGTTGTTTGTGATTTGGATGTAGGAGATGCGATGCCAATAGCACTGCGCGCTCGACAAATCGCTTCCAGATATCTGGTGAAAGTTTACGAGCTGTTGAAGAAGCTCCTAGAGACTGGACTCATTGAACACTCTGAATCGGAGTGGTCGTCCCCGATCGTAATCGTCTTGAAGAAGAATGGAGAGGACATCAGAATGTGTGTTGATTATAGGCTGGTTAACCAGTTGATCAAGCTATCACGATATCCTCTACCTCTGATTGATGACTTGTTGACTGATTTTAATGCTGCGGCATGGTTCGTGAGTCTAGATATGGCGAGCGGTTTCTGGGCGATCCAGACGACAGAGCGGGCAAAGTTGATTTCGGCCTTTGTCTGTCCATTTGGACATTTCCAGTGGATCCGGATGCCTTTCGGACTCAAGAATGCACAGTTGTTGGTGTACCAGAGTGTGATTAACAACTGTCTCTGGGGATTCGTGCAGCTCCCACCCGAAGAGGAGGCAAAGGTTGACTGAGATGTCCTGGAATTTCTGGAGCTGCTTGCCCCAGACACAGAACCGACGGTTGAAACTCCTCATGGCGAAGGTGGTTTCAGACTCCCCGAGTTGATGAAGGAGGCGACTGCATTCAGGTGGAATATTCCGGCCCCAACGCAGATGGGATTAGTCCTGGGGCGAAGCTCCTACATAGATGACATAGCTCATGGGGCGCCTACCTGGGATAAACTCTGTGAAGACCTGAATGCCCTGCTATTCCGCCTCCGGTACTGGAATATCTCGGTTAGTCTTCCGAAGAGCGAGTTCGGCAAACAAGCTATACCTTACCTGTCTCACGAAGTATGTGCGGAGGGTATCGGGGCTACCCCGAAGATTGCCAAGTGTGTTCAAGGCCTACCTTTCCCATCGACTCTGAAGGGGGTTCAGTCGTTCTTGGGAAGTTTGAATTACTACAACAAGTTTATCGAGGATTTACCTGTTGTCGTGGCTGTGCTTTACGAGCTGGATGCGGATCGCATTCGTGCCGGACATGATTTGGATAAGGCCAAGGAAGCGTTCGAGATTCTGGATCGTAAGATCACATCAACGCCGCTGCTACGCCATCCAGATTGTACCAAGCCGTTTGTCATCATCCCACATGCAAACCCCTGGGCGGCTTGTGCCGTCCTCGGGCAGGCACATGAGGGGATCATTCAACCAGTGCGCTTCACAGGGCGGGTCCTGAACGAGTCGGAACTTAGGTACCACATCGCAGAGAAGGAGGTGTTGGCGATCCTGCGAGTTTTAGAGCAATTCCGTCCGCTCATCTACGGTTCAGAGACACCGATCGTAATCTATACTCGGTACTCGGTCCTGAAGTGGTTATTGTAGTCAAATTCCGCCGACGGCCGTCACCTCAAGTGGGGTCTAGAACTGTCGAAGTGGGCTCTGGAATTGCGCCGTGTCCAGCGTGATGAAGATGGATTAGTTGCTATCCTCGGTGCAGGTATTACCCCCAGGGAGCACTTAGACGAAGTCGCTGAAAACCTGATCCCGGCTAAGGGGCGAATCAAAGCACCTCCGCCAATCAGAGATGCTGGATACAGACTTCGAAGGATACGTTCTGAGCTTCGATGGTGCAGCCAAGGTCTCCACTAGATAGGAAAGTTGTGGATGTATTTTGTGGCGTTTACCTAGCTGGCATGCCCTGAGCGCCCACGGATTCCCTTTGGATGATGTGCCTGTGAACGATGCAAAGTATCACGGGTTGATCAAAGGTCTAGAGCTAGCCGCCGACCGTGGCTTCAAAGATGTAGTTGTGGTCGGCGATTCTAGGATCGTAATCCAACAAGCGCAAGGGTTGATAGGTTGCCACCAGTCTAATTTGCAACGTCGCCTTGCTGAGTATGAAGCTTTGAAAGTGAAATTTGGGTCCGTACGGTTGGTCCACGTCAAACGTGATTACAACCAGGCAGCAGATTACCTGACGATGAAGACATTGGCACTCGGGAAAGCATGGGTAGTGGAAGATGCGGACGAACTGATGCATCTGAAATTTGTCTCTAGGATCCCGGATAAGATTATGATGACGCCGGGGACCTCGGAGCGAAAGGACGACGTCACAGTCTGAAGGGTGACCGTCCAAGTGACCTCGTTTCATACTCTGCCCCGAGCACACCCGAGACCGCGATACCTGTGAATGTAGTTATGACTCGATGTCGTTCCAGACAGGTGGCCCAAGTAGATGACCCGAGTCGGCCACTTGATTATCGAGACGAACGTTGGAGACGGATTAA